GATAAAAGTTAGTTCATGGCAAAACCTAGATTAATAACCAGGTCTCCAAACTGGTACAGTATGTTCTTTTATCATACCATACTATGATTTTTGTTACTTTAGACAAAATGAGTTGCCAAAATAACAAAAGGAGGCCAAACAAACAAAAACAAAAACAAGAACTAGTGTCAATGTGTCTGTAGTATATTTATAAGAAAATCAATGAAGTATAAAGAATAATGAACATAGATTCAATATGTCCAAAATAGTGCCTTTCACTTCCTAACCTATGGTCCTAAAATCTCCAAGCACTGATTATAAAATATTTTAATGTCAATTAATGGTAACACTATGGCTTTTCAAAGATTTTTTTAAAAAATAAACTCAAGTAAGAACTTTCCCCCAATACTATGGTATCTTGAATGCAGACCTATTAAAAACATGACAAAGTAGAAAATGAACTAAAAAAAAAAAAAAAAAACTCAATCTGAAGCTAAGGGCAAGACTAGATATTTAAATATGTCTCTTGTTAATCTTGCTGAGTGTTAAGGTAATGCTGGCTAAATTAAAATGAAAGACAAATACACTAATTTGACAGCATATACAAAACAAAATATATTCAACTGATTTTAGGAAAAACACTTTTCCACACATTTAATAGGTTTTATGGTGAATTACACTAAAAACAGAACAATATGAAAATATTAAGAATAGAATATTAGAGACTGGGGAGCTGGAGAGAGATGGCTTAGTGGTTAAGATCATTTAACTGCTCTTGGAGGGAACATAAACTCGGTTCCCAACATCCACACCAGGGAGCTCACAACTGACTGGACTCTAGATCCAGAAGGATCCTATTTCTCTGACTTCCATAGCACCTGTACTCCCATGCATGTACACACACACGTACACACACGTACACACACACACACACACACACACACACACTTACAAAATGAATTTCTAAAAACAAAAAACAAAGGCTTCAGGCACGCCTTTAATCCCAGCACTCGGGAGGTAGAGGCATTTGTATATCTGTGAGTTCGAGACCAGCCTGGTCTACACAAAGAGCTAGTTCCAGGACAGGCTCCAAAGCCACACAAAGAAACCCTGTCTCAAAAAACAAAAACAAATAAAAATAAAAATAAAACCAAAAAAAAAAAAAATCACCCCAGAGATTAGACTCTTGGTCCTCCACTGTTAAGCCACAAAGCTCAAACACTTTAACCTCTTGGGTCCTAGCTTTTCTTGAATAGAAGACAGAATAAGAATCAAACCTTAGATAGCTGGTGGAGTGAACCCTGCAGTAATAGGACTACTGGAAGTCTCATGCCAGCCCGGGTTACACTGTGAGTGTCTGGCTCTCCTGGGCTACAGTGTGAAACCCTGACTCACAAACAAGGTGGGACTGGAAAAATTGCTTGGTAGTTAAGAGCACTTGCAGCCCTGGGAAAGAACATGGTCAGTCTCTAGTAGCAACATGGTGGCGCACAGCCATCTTTAACTCCCTTTCAGGGGATCTGATGCCACCTTCTGACCTCTGTGGTTTGACAAAAGAATCATACACATAAAATAAAGAATAGCTTTAAATGTTTTAAATTAAATATAAAAACAAAGTAACAGAGCAAGGAACATAAAATTTTACATCTCTAGATCCCTTTCATTCTCTACCCTAAAATCACCTGCTTTGGCTTTCCATAGATGCTGCAGATTTGGCTTATATAACTAGTGATCTCTCTTGTTTTAACTTTAAATTTTTCCTTTATGGACAGTATTGGAGGACACAAGGCTTGAACAGGGTTTTACTCTATGGCTCAGGCTGGCTTGGAACTCAGTATAGACCAGACTGATTCTTACTCTGGGACAAACCCTGCTTCAGTCTCCCAAATGCTAAGATTACACTGTTCAGTCACTAGGCTCAGTTTAACATAAGAGCTTTCCTGTGTATGTGACTTTCAGAGTAATATACAAGCATGTGGCCTCTGATCACAACATTCAAAAGTATATAAAAGAAAACATTCCCAAAATGGACACTGGCACATGCCTGGAATCCCAGAACTCAGAGACTGAAGTGACAGTGGTAAGAGCTCCAGGCCAATTTGTGCCACACACAGAAAACTCATCTTTAAAAAACAAAAACAAAAACAAAAGCTGGAGGATGTAGCTCTTGCAGGTTCTATGCTGGGTCCCCAGGATCACAAAGACAACACACACACACACACACACACACACACACACACACACACACAAAGACAACATTAGAACAGTTCCCATAAAACACTTATAATGAATCAAGTATGCAAAGACAGGTCTCTCATCTTCGGGTAGAGCAAGAGTCTTTCATTTGTATTAGTCATGATCACAATTTGAAATTAGCTATTTTTCTGTATAGATTTCCTCAACTCACAAAAAATTCTCATTCTGAGATAACCTACTTAGATACAGCCAGCCCCTTATAATCCTCTTAGCTCTGAGGATTTTTGTTTTGTTTTTATTTTGAGACAGGATTTCTATATCTTTGGGTGTCCTAGAACTCTCCATGTATACCAGCGTGGCTTTGAATATGCAGAGATCAGCCTGTCTCTGCCTCTTGAGTACTGGGATTAAAGGTGTGCAAACCACAGCCTGGCAATTTTGAGTGTTTAAGATTTCATGAAGCAGGTCATGGTGGCTGAATTCTGTGATCCTAGCATCTGGGAGGTACAGTAGCACCTCAAGGTCACAGAGAACATGAGACCCTGTCTCAAGAAAAAAAGCAAAACAAATATTTGAAAGTAGTAAACAGCAGTGCAGTTTTAAAGCACAAATGACAAAGAGTCTTTCCCAATAATTATTCCACAACCTAAAAGGGAACAGCAAATTGGTAAAGAATTCACTGCAATTCAAAAGGTTATATCCCACTCCATCTTCAGCAATCTGGATCTTTTGAGTAAACTGCCAATCGTCTAATTAGGAATTTCAATGGTTTTACAGTCATACTGAATTTGAAACCACCATAAGTTAACTTTATTGGACTCTACTTTAGAACACTACAACATCCTATAGAGGTAATTTTTATTATGCTCCCCTCTCATCCCATCCCTGGGGTTAAGTTACACATACAATTCTAATGTAACCAATGACTTTGGTTTTCTCCACTCCTCACTGCAACTTAATACTGCAACTCAGAATTTAAATTTCCTGCACAGCTGCCTTATCTCTAGTTGCAACTTTATTTTTTAACTCATACTCTTAAAAAAATGCAAAGACTAAACGGAGATTTCATCTCTAGGTAAGACTTTCACCGCAAGCCCATAAACTTCTGCCTCCTTTTCATCTTTCAAAGAGAGTTGAAGTAAAACACTGAGGGTTAAAAATACAATGCGAGTGGGAAGGAGAGAGAAAAAACCCAAGTGAGATGTACGCTGAGCCTGGAGTGACCCCAGGTCATCCTGAGTCTCTGCCAGAAAAGGCAAGGTAACATTCACTCTTGTCTAAGTTTCTTTGTCTCTCAGCCTACCAATGAACCCTCTTGCACATTACTGTACTATTGTATTTCATCAGTGGCTACAGTATTTCCCCAACGAACCCCTTTGTCAGTCCATGAATTCTCTTTAAAGAGCTTTCTGACGACCTACTGTTCACTTCTAAGACTACAAACCTCCCACTCTAGAGGACGAACGTAAAACAAAAACAGAAGTGAATTCTCCGAAGGCTCACTCATATTCTCTGAACAGATACCTAAGTTACCAATAACAATGACCCACAAAAGTACACACTAAACGGGGAAGAGGAAGTATCAGAACAATATCCACACAGGACCAAAAACCCAACAGTCGCCTCTCATCCCAGTTTACCGCCCCCACTTCCTACTTCCACCGAGGACTCATCGATTCCCGCTCGGGAGGTGGCAAAACGATTCACGAAAGCAGCAGGCGCTGACCAGTCGGGGACGGGTGCTTTCACTGCGTGGTGGAAGGAGGCTAGCCAAGGGCTGGGCGAAGAATGGGAAGCTGAGTGTACTGGGGGGAGGGGGGATTTAGGGCGCCAGGGCTAATCCCGTCCAGGGCCCGCGGGTGGAATGGGCAGCAAGCGAGCCTCCGGGAAGGCGAGGCAAGCCGGTGCGCGGGGCTTTCGGGTCGCGAGCAGGGGAGGACGCTGGCTGCCCCGCCGGGGGCGGGTGGCGGGCAGCACAAGGGAGGCGACTCCGGCAGGGCGACTGTTTGGGGTGCGAGAGCTGGCCTTCGTCGCCGCCCGAGACCCCTCCGAGCTCACACCTCAAACCTGCTCTTGGTCACTCCGTTCACGTCCCTCCTCATGGGGGCAGCGGGTGCGGCCCGGGCAGGGCGCTGCGGCGTGCGGAGTGCAAAGACAGGGGCCAGGGCAGGCCCGGGAGTTCCGGGAGCGGGAGGCGGCAGCGGCGGTCAGGCGAGGCCCGCCCGTCCGACGCGGAGGACAGACCGCTCGAGTCCCGTGGGGGCCTCCAGCACCGCCCGCGGCGTCCGCGGCCGCGACGACTGCCAGTCGCTAGCTCGGTTCTCTCCAAAGCCTCAACTTCAACCCAAAACAAAAACACTCCCCACCTGCCAGCAACGCCGCTCCTCATTGGGCAGAGCCGCCCGGGCCTCGGAACGCCGGGGGAGGGGAGGAGCGCTCCGCCGCCGCGGCCGTGCGAGCCCACCCCTCCCCCACCGGCGCAGCCCCGGACGGTGAGCCCGCGAGCAGCCGGAGCGTGGGGCGGCCGGGCACGGGCCCACCGGGACAAGGACAGGCAGGGAAGTGCCCAAGTGTGCGTGCGCGTAGGGGGGCCACGGGGCGGGTGCGCGCGTGCTCGCGGACCGGCGAGGAGAGCAAAAGCAGGGAAGGCATCTCACCGGAACCCTCCCCGCCGCTCCGAGGACTCAGCGGCACGCACAGACCCACGCGCAACCTGGGCTTTCTTTCGGCTTAGTGTCCCCAGCCCTAGTCTAGTCACTTCCCCGGCGGCCTGAGCTGGCACCCACGTCTTCCTGGCCACCCAACTCCCGTCCTCTATCACTCACTGTCGCCTTGAACCCAAAGTGCAGCAAGCGGTCCCTGCTCGGAGCCATTTTTCCTCCTTTTTTCTAGACGTCTCTGGTTTGGGGCAGTGCCGCCGCCGTGGGTGCCGCCGCCGCCGCCTCCCCCGCCCCGGTGAATTGCATTACGGGGTGCAGCGGGGAGGCGTGGGGGGCCGCTGCGGGGCGGCTGTCAGTGCCTGACTCCCGAAGGTAAGAGCTGGTGGCGCTAAGAGGCGGACCTAGCGCCCAGCTCTGCACAGGGACAGGTAGCGAGGCTTCACCTCGGGGTCAAGGGGTGCAAGGCCCCACAGCCCGGCACCCATTCCTAGGGCCGGGGGAGGGGCGGGCATCGGTGGGGTGGAGGCAGGCCAGGCACAAGGGCCTTTGGCATCCCCGCCCCTCCGGCCGGTGGCACCCAATGGGCTGTAATGGCTGCCCACCGTCCAATCAGGACGCTGGTTGATGAGAGCTTCAATCTGACGCCATTTCGGCGGGAGAAACAAGCATGTAGTAGCGAGTAGGCGGGGGCTTTAGCCCACAGGACTTTAATTGGACTGGGCTACTGGTATAGAAACTGGAGCGTGTTGTCCTATCATTAATGTAAACTCCAGCCTTCAGGATTCTTATTGTCCATGAATTTTGAAACAATCTAGAGTGAGTTGCCCCTTCAAAGAGAAACAAATTACACAATGTAACAATCCTGAAGTATTTAAAAACTATCATAAATAGCTCCTGTGCTCCATAAGGCCACAATACTGCCTTTAATTGTATACTCAAAGCAGTTAAGAGTTTGCCTCACACCCTTTTAAGTTTTAATTAGAATCTGATCAAGATGAACATTTAAGAGCAACAAGTGTTGCAAACCTTTTAAAAAGACTTGTTTTAGCTTGCTTATTGACCTTAAAGCACTTAATACTGTCTTTTTTTTTTTTTTTTGAAACAAGATTTATGTAACCCCAGCTATTCTGGAACTCTGACTGGCCTTTAACTACAGAGATGAATCTACCTCTGACTCCCCAATTCTGGCATTAAAGGCATATCACCACCCCTAGCCAAACTCTTTTTCCCCTTAAAAAGGCTTTCCTAAACAAACAAAAAACTCAGTTCTTGGGCCCACAAAAACCTAGGTCCACATGTTGCATTCTCTTTGAAGCCTACATACTTTCAGCCAGTGGAAAAACAAGGCTCAGTGTAACAACTGCAAGATAGGAAGAAGTGGGAAAAATGGCACAGAGACAAATGTAAGAAAACAAACAAATATCCCTTTTACTGGGGCCTACCAACTATGCATTTAGAATGCTCGGGGAAGCCACTGTCCTTAATTAATTTGGGTTTCTGAGATGTTTACCAAATGAAAATATTAAAAGGATACGCTTTTATGATGATGACTCATACCTGTAATCCCACCACTCAGGAGGCCGAGTCGGTAAGGGATTGCATGGAGTTCTGGATCGTACTGTGCTACATGGCAAGCTCTTGAACAACTGGGTTAGCTAGAGGCATTGTCTCAAAGAGAAAATTCACAAAACAAACAACACTAGCCGATGGCCCTAACTACTGGGAAGGCAGGGCAGGAAGATAAAGAGTTCAAGATATGCTGGGCTACATAAAACCTAGTTCCAAGCCAGCCAGGGCTGCATGGTAACCCGTTTAAAAAAACAAACTCTTCAGAAGCCTATTAATTTTTATCAAAGAAATTTATTTGTATGTAAAGAAACATTTTTTGTAATGTTTTATAGGGGGAAAGTCCCACATTTTGTCCACTTTCAAAAAATGGAAAAAGAAACCCAAAATATTTACAGAACAACCACACATACAGAATCCCAAATTGGAAATACTTTAAGACCCTTCCCACTGCTCCTGATGTACATTTTTAAACTCAAAATTTAAAGCACAGCTCTATCATTGAGCATGTTTCCCAACCTAGTTTCTCTCTAAGATAATACTTCCTGCCCCCCCCAAAAGTTAACTCTAAGACAAATAATTATGGGGCAGGGTTAAAGATGAAAATAAAATAGAAAGTGAAATTATCCAGGGATTGTGAAGGTTTGCTATACTGACATCTGCTGTGACTCAATTGTGGATACTATGTGACTCACTGGCTCTTTCTGAAAAATCCATGATATTGCTATATTAAATTTGCAGACCTTGGCCTGACAATCCAATTCAAGAGTTACGAACCTCAAGCTGGCTTTGGCAATTATATCAGGTCCCCTTCCTCACCTTGGAAACACTTGTTTTAAGATACACTGACTTTGAATCTGAAATATTATTGTACATCAGAGCAGATTTTGCCCAAAGACCCTTAACACGAAGCCAAAAGACAGAACAATCAGGTGAAACTAAAAGTACAAAAAGTCCAGCAGCAGCAAACAGGTACATGTTGACTTCACATACAAGTTGACTTCACATCCGTGCCGTCTTTTGAAACAGGAGAATGAGTACACCTGGATGGGAGGGAGGTGTTCCAGGCTTGGTTTATTCTGCCTCTTCTCCTCCACCCTGTGGAGAAATGCAGTGCTCCCTGGTTCCCAGGCAGGGTGAAGCAGTTTAGCCCCGGCTCCCTGTTAAGCAAGTTCAGATGCTGGGTCATTGTGTGGGGTGTGCCCATCGACAATTCAGGGGCTTATCCTTCATCCAGATCCTAACTCGGGATTCTTTGATCTGGGATGAAGACAGAAAGAGAGAAAAAGCTTCCCAGTTTACTCATTTTGGTATTTGTTGGCTCTGCTTGGGGGGACTGAGCCCCTTATACTATGCAGTACATTTCCCCCATGAGATCGTCCCCACCCAGAACAAAATGAAACACCACATAACTTTAACTTTCCTTTAAATTAAGAGGATAGGATTCAGAACCAGATGGCAAACTTCTGAGAAATCCAACCTGGTTGTATATCTGAGACACTGCCACTGCATCAGCACCACAAGATAAAGCACTCCAGTGTCACCTTCCCCATGTCCTCGTTAGTGTCACCCAAGACAGTGAACTCTGATAGGGTAACAGGTAACTTTGCTTGCTCCACTTTACAAAGTTTTGTTTCCTATTTATTGCCTTGGGACACAGAAATGGCAGAGTTGTTAAGAACCAATTATCAGAAAGGGAGAACACCAAAGAAAATGAGAAACAGTCAGGAAAGAAAGCCACAGTAGATTTTCCAAGTCTATGCTAACTCCAACCTGCAGAGTTGGATATAAAAATCGTCCGCATCTGATGAAGTCACTCCACTTATCATATACACAAACATGAATCACCTGGCTTTTTTTTTTTTTTTTTTTCCTTTTTGTAATCCAGAAGAGTTGTGCTGGGGATTATGCCCCATCCCGCTGATACAGATCCTGAACAGAATCATCAGGAATGGCACAGTGCAGGTGGCAAAATCAAAGTAAGGCCGCAGATATTTGAGAGGACCCTTCAAATACTGAGAATTTCTGTTGCACTCAAATGGTCTCCTGGATTTCTCTATTTATGAGAAGGGCTTCATTTGATGTCCCTCAGAATCCAGACTCAGACCTGTCTCTCCAAAAAGGCCCAACTGTGTGCTACACAGTAGCAAGGGTTATCTTCATGCTCACTTAGCATTCCAGGCCCCTGTTACTTCAAGTGAGCTTGAAATTGTTTTAAGTGAACTATGGCTGCATTTTTTATAACTTTATTTCGGGGAGCATACAGTAGAGTGACTTAAGTCTGAACTCCTCTTTCTTGTGATGAAGAGAAACAAAGAGTCCAGCTCTTAGGAATAGCATCAGCTCTCCTGCAAACATAATGCTGGGATGTAGACTTTTGGCACATTGTGGAACTAGGAGAACTATTAATTTTCATACCATAGGGTACAGAATCTGAAAACATAATTTATACTCCCAATAGCCACCCTTCCTTTTTAACGAAAAAAATGATAAATCTTTTAACTGCATAGGGAGGTAACTCCTATTATTCCTATGATGTCTGAACCCTGTGAAAAACCTCCAAAGATAATAGTTTTGGTTTTTCTATTTAAGTCCAAGACTGGCTCTGATTAGCCTGTGTGGGCTTGATGCTGCAGCATCAGCAAAAGCTGCAAGCTCCCCACCAAACAAACCTTGCCCTTCCTGCCTATCATTCTGAACCATAACCTTCATAGATTTAAGAACAAACATTGCATAAAAACAAACATTAAGGATTAAAATATTACAAATAAATAGCTAAAATAATTTTCCCTCCCCCAATCACTCCTACTAAGAAACAGACACTAAAACATTGCTTTAAGTGTCCAAAACTGCCAAAGTCCTTTCCTTGCCCATGCTTCAAATGGACAACCACCAAAGGTGAACAACCTTCATGCAAATGCATCAAGGAATGTATTGCTTTTTTTCATTTTCTGCCCAGCCCTTCAAATACATGCACTAAAATGAGTTTAAAGCATGTCCTGAAAATGGAAAAAGGGAGAAAAAAATATATATGAATATTTCCCACAACAGTTTTCCCACCCTTCCCTCTCTATACCCTTTCCCACCCCCTCCCTTTCTTAAGCAAGTATTTTTTAACATTTCTTTCTGGCAAAGAAATATGACTTGTTGTGAACGACCAACCCCATGGTCCCTTTAGTAGGGTTTAGATATACTTTTATAAATGTACCCAGCTTGGTGTAGAGGCCATGCCTGCTAAGTATCTCAAACACAAATTGGGCCTATCTGACTCACCCCTTGTGTTGGTTTACATGTAAATATATCATTAGTTTCTTCTCTGGACATATCTGCTTAGAAAATAAGGTTCTTAATTGCCAATCAGGGCCACATCCATTAGATCATCATCTTCCTCCCCAATCATAAAGTCAGGGCTGAGCCTTGAAGGCCTGTCTGCAGATAAGATTGGGTTATTTGCCATAGACAATGTCTGATCTGAAGAAATAGGTGATTTAGACCAATTCTCTGGCTTGATACTGTGAGACTTTTTCTTGTCTCTGTCTTTAACTTTCTTCTTTTCCTTTTTGTGCTTCTTATGTTTCTCTGTGCTGTATTCTGGAAGAGGTCGGATACCATCATCTGAGCTGGGACTGTTCTGGTAAGACTTTTCTGCTATGGAGGAGCCTGACTCACTTTCACTGTCCACATTCTGGGGTGTATATGCTGGCGACTTACTGTGGCTGGGAGAACCACGTTCATGCTTTGGAGTGGAACCACTGATTAATGGAGAACCATAGTTTTTTGAGGAGGCTATCTGCGGCCTGAGCCCTTCTCCACTGCTTTCTCCAGGTTTCTGTAGCGTCACTTTGGCTTTAATGCTAGGGGAGCCTCCATCATGTTTGCTGATAATAATTTTTGCCACGCCCGTGCTCCCCGCATTTTTTGACTCTGAGGTCTTCTTAGAAGAATCCACTGAGCCTC